TTCTCTCGTGTTTCCCCGCCTTCTTCCTTTCTGTCGTGCATACCTCGTCCTCCACTCTAATTGGCCTGAACCTATGAATCCCCAACGGAGGCGGCCATGAGCGGCCTAGGCTGTGGCTGCGGCCTAGGCCGCGACCCCGCGGCCATGGCCGCAGTCCACGACCATGAAAAAAATTAAAAATAAATAACAATTTAAAAAATTCTGAAAAAAAAAAAACGGTATGCAGAAAAATATACTAAACAACTTTTGCCTTGTGGTCATATCCAAAAACTTTACTGAATTTAAAATTAAAAAAAAACACATAAGTTTCATAGTTTTTCTTGGGAAAAAAAAAAAGAAAGTTTTTGCCTCAGGATAATTAGTTTTTGAATTTTTAAAATTCGAAGACGAAGTCAAAAAATAAAATAACAAATTGCGCAATCTAGATCTCGAAAAGATCTACAACCACTTTTTTTTTTTTTTTTTATAATTTTTTTTTAAGTCTAAAACAATTCGTGGAAGTCACGGCCGCACCCAACCGCGGCCAGAGCCGCGGCGGCCGTGATCACGGCCGCCCTCCGAGCTCGACCCCACGGATGCGTCCGCGGGTGTTTCATAGGCCTGAACGACTATGCGTGGAGTGTAGTTGCGTCCCCCACACCGCACCTTGGCGTAGGCACTTCCTTCTCTTCCCCTTCCCCTTCCCCTCACTTAGGCATAATCCCGAATTCATCGAGCAAGCATGCACGCTATTAATTTCGCAAGCGCGATTAGTTTGCTCTCTCAGAATTTGGAAGTTAGTGCGGTCAGTGATGATCGGCTAATAAGTAAGTGAGAAGATGAGCAGAAGTGAGTCGGGCGACCCGGCGAGCTGGTGCCGGGTAGGCGGGGTTGATGTGCGGGCCACAATGGACTGTGACACACAGGCGAACTTGGCTTGCGTACTCGGACTAAGCGGGGTGACGACTCGGTGTTGGTGCGAGGCGACGGACTACCCGCATCGGAGGTGATGTAGCGTGGAGAGAAAGAGAGAGGGAGAGATATGTGTGTGTGGGAGGGCAGGGGGAACGGGTCACACACATCAGTCGAACCTTCCGTCGTCGGCCAAGCTCCGGATCACCAGTCCCTGACCTCTAGCACTGCACGGAGTGACGGCGGGCAAGCTGGTGCATACATGATGCTGCGGCCATGGCATCTTCTTCCAACGTCCCGGCCATGGCTTCCTCGGTGGCCGGGCTACGGACAACCACCACTTTGAAACAGTGCGGATGTGCCCAGCCAACCGTTACACCTGCGCAACCCCCTCCGCGGGGCTCCTCCAGGCCGCACTGAATGCAGACCCCCGTGCGGCCATTGGAGGACCGCCCAATGCTCTGGGGCCAGCCAATGGCAAAATCAGTCCGTGAGGATTCGGGCCGCGGAAAGAAAAGCTCGCAAGGCCTGACACCCACTAGGTTCCAATTTCTTGGATGGACACCGTTTGGACCGACTTGCTGGACTTGTGAAAAAACACAGGTCCTCCACAGGCCAGCGGAGGACGTACAAGTTTGTGTGCGTTACAGCGGGGTGGGATGGAGCACACACGCAACCTCACGAAATGAAACTCTGACAGCTTTCGTGGGTTTTTCTTGACAGGATTTGTTTGGAGACTGTGCGGCGACACGTTCACGAAACAATTTTTTTTTTTTCTGGGGTTCGTGTACTGTCCGGCAAGGCCCTTACTCTCCACTGTCCATGCGGAAAACTGTTTGGACAGTAGTAAAAAATCGGAAGGACAATCTACTGTCCCTGATTGTATAATTCCCAGCCTGCAAAATTGGTTATGTGAAAAGTCCTTCAAAGAACTCAGGATACCGTACTCCCCAGGCGGAGTGCGTCGACCCGAACTGGACAGTGGAGTTTGGGCGGTCAAAATGTTTTTGAATGCAGTTACGGTAGAAGTGCTGTATAGTGGACAGTAAGTGGAGCGATGCCCCGTTTCCACAGCTGTCCACGAGCTATACAAAATTTTGTGTAGTGGACAGTATTGGAGCGAGGCCCTACCAGTAGGCTGCTGTCCTGAAACCCCATTCCTCGGCGCACTACTCCCGACTTGGAGAAAAAAAATTGTGAGTACTCCCGAACGTCCGAAGATGCGAAAATAGATTCGGGAGTGCGCTTCGCCACATTGCACTCCCAACTTGGGGCGCTCTCCGATTTGGAGGCCAGGAGGCGCACTTCAGACAGAGACTGTCCAGCACTGTCCAGCATGTGGCGACGAAAACTGTGAGGAGAATGCTTGTCTGCGCACAAGTTCTCCGGTCGAAACACAGGCCTCCGCCAGGGGTCTCCCGAAAATGGCCTTTTACAGGCGGGAGGCTCAAGCTATTTCTGGAGCCCTCTCGGTAGCCGCATTCTGACAGATCCGGATTCAATCTGACAGGTTGAACTCCAAAGCTGGTGTGGCGATGCTGCAGTCCCGAAAATGGCCAAGTCGGGGGTACTGTGGCGACGCCCCTACTCCGAAGCTTTCAACTGACCTCCGCTCGGAATTTGGTGAATGGGCTTGAGGTTGGGACACGGTTTTTTTTTTTTTTCAAAAGGGCGATGGCCTTGAGGTATTATCATCGGACTAACCAGCCCAGGTAAACTCAATATTGTGTCTTATCTGACATCGGGTGGCCTTTTCAGCCCAGGGTGGCCTTGATTGCCTTCAGGGAACCCCCAATGGGGGACACCGGCCAGGGGGCAGGCGGTAGCTGAGGGACCGAGCATCATCTAAGTGGCCAGTCGCTGTGCCTCCCCGATTACCCCTCCCCCTATGAACATCAGCAGAGACTGCTTTTTAATGCTAATTGGGGGGACCAACGGGCGGGCGCCAAGCATGCCCAGGAAGGTACATGAGGCCGTTGGGGATTGAACCCAAGACCTCCTGAATGCCACTTGCGTGCCTTACCAACTGAGCTAGGCCGCTGGATATTCAGTGGGTACGTATTGGGCCTGGCTGCCCTACTCTCCAAATGTGCAAAATGACAATGAATCTTCGGCTAGAACATGGAATGATGCAACGCCATATTTTTGGTCTTTCGTGGACGTGGAGAGTAGTGCAGCGAGGCCAATTGCCCCAAACCAAAATTTCTGAATGGAAACGAGGCGACGGTCATGACAGCTAAGACGAATCGCTGCGCTGCTCGCCAAAGAGAACATGGCACGTGCCGCCGCGGCAGGAAATATAGGGAGCCGATGTTGCAGGATCTGGTGGCAGCGGGATGTTCTGACGACTGATGAATTGATGTTCTGACGAGTGATGAATTGATGTTCTGACGAGTGATGAATTGCTCATCGGGCGCCTCCCATGATATACAATTTAAATACACGCGCGAAGAGTCATCGACGGGCCGATGAGTTGTTGGAGTGATTGATGATTTGGTCATTCAGATTGGGCATTCCCATGAGATGATCTCATCGATCATCCGGCCGACGGTTGATAAAGTGGATAATAGCCGCAGCTCGAAGCGAGGCACACTGTTCACGGTATGAACAGAGCGAACGACCAAGAGAGATCATACCAACACACACACACACACACACACACACACACACACAGAGAGAGAGAGACGGTTGATAAAGTGGATAATAGCGGCGGCTCGAAGCGAGGCACACTGTTCACGGCATGAACATAGCGAGCGAGCAAGAGAGATCATACCCAGAGAGAGAGAGAGAGAGAGAGAGAGAGAGAGAGAGAGAGAGAGAGAGAGAGAGAGAG